GGAAATTCCAATCCCCCTCCATGGGGGAGGTATGGATATTTTCTGGTACTACACAATATACCCTCCTCAGACCCTCCCCACCCCTTGGAAGTCCAATCCCCCTCCATGGRGGAGACGTATGGGTATTTTTGTATTTCTTCTTACATTTGATAATAATAATGTAAGTGACAAGTAAGATATTCCATGGTATAGCACAGTAAAACATCAAGCAAATTGTATGAAGTTGTATGAAGCCTGGATAGCGCATAGATCTGACGGATAAATCTTATCCAGTGGATAAATTTATTAGATAACAGCATCGACTTACCCACTGGATAAGGATTAATATCCGCCAGATAGTGCTATCCAGGCTTCGTATAACCTGGCCTAGTTTTATTGCTTTTAGTGCTAGATACCAGTAAATATCCCCCTTCCCCCAAACACCTGTTAAAATAATGGCACTGGTTGTACATAGTGACTATTTCTATATGAGATCTTGCCAATCATGTTCTTTATGCTCAGTAAATGAAATTGGAACCCCCCTTTGTGAAGCCAACAAGCCCGAGTCAGACAGCACTTTAATTTTACAAAAAAAGAATGGAAACCAAGGGAAGGGTTATTTCTGTTTACACAACAATGAAGAAGGGAGGTCAGATTTCTAGTATGGGTTACTAAGCAAATACCACCACCCCCACCCCTTCCCCGATAAAAAATGACCCATCACCTATCTACACAAGCTAATTATTTTCTGTAGTTTAAACTCAGCTTATACCCAGCTGGGCAGGATGTGAGTTGAGTCAATGGCAGGCTACCCCAAGTATCGTATCAAGTTACACTCAACAATCTGCCAGTACCATTAATATGCCATTTATATGGCAGCATTTCACTACCACTACCAAAATGCTTTGTTAATTTTCTTTCTTATTCCAATTTGTATTTCTTCATGAGAATAGTAAGACAATTTGGCACTAATTAACTGAACAAAAGAAAGTGTGCAATGGATTCTGGTAGTGGTTAGTAAATGACTCTATATAAATGCGAGTGACCTATTCACAATGTCATGTGTGAAGAGTCAGGCTGTCAGAGTCAAATTTAACCTAAGAATTGCAACTCAACAGCTGAAATTAGACTTTAAATTAATTTTTTGTATGATTCTAATTTCAATTGCCCTATTTCACTATGACGCCACATCAAAACAACCTATTGTTTAAACGCAAAGGAACATGGTCATCGAAGGGAATCAATTCAACGCAAATTCACCAAAAATGGTTCGAAAGCCCGTATCAGTCCACGAAGAGAAGTAGAATAGCCAGCAAATGCTCAGAATATTTTTTAGTACATATTAACACATATTAAGTCTGAAAACCAGGCCATTTTAGATTAAACTGTTTCACTAGGAGCAAATTTTGTTGAATTTTCTATTGGATTTGGAGATTCTATCCCCCACATAAACAAGCAGTGACGTCATAGTGAAATAGGGCAATTCTTTTTAACTTTTGAAATGAATCAAAAACAGGAAGTATTGAGTTATTTTTGGGGAAGACAACGAAAATAGACTAGCCCAAAAAGTTTTCTTGAAAAAATATTTACTTGCTTGAAAGGATAATAATTGCATAAAATTTGTTTTTGAAAAAAATTATATAAGCAAGAGGTTATTCATTTGTGAATGGCTTGTTTTAGTAAAGCTGACAATGAAAGCATTTAACTTGTTTATCATCAAGGCCTTGTTATCACAAAACAATGACAAAATACTTTAATTTGTTCTTAAGTACTTTGAAGAGGGCAGTCACCTTTAAATAAACTACTAAATTTTAGTTAAAAACAAATGGAAAATGGCAAGAATGCTAAAGAGGTAAAGTAGAAAATAGATACTTTATCAAAGATATTATAGTTTTTGAAAGTTTTGAGTAATATTTAAAAAATATGTGGGAAATTTATAATTACCATTAAGAATGATTTTTAAAATAATTATGATTATATATATATATATATATATATATTCTAGTATATAAAAACAATATATAAATTTATATTATTTTTAAGTACTGCTCTAAAAAAAATTTATAACTTAAGAAAATTTATTTTTTAAACAAAAATTTAATTTTGAGGAAGTAAACAGCATTTTTAAAATTTCCTTGAAGAATCATAATATTATAATTATTAACTCATTAACTCAGAACAGGTTATTGTAAAACTTATTATTATTATTTTTAGAGATTTGAAATACTTCATAGCTTTTTAATTTAAATGCTCATCAAAAATCATTATCTTAGTAAAATTTGATATTTCTAAATATATCCTCTAAGTAGAGTATTTTAAATAATAGCTTTTAAAAAAGGGGTTAAATATTTTTCTTCTGATTTTGCAATAAAAAAGGGTATAATTTCTGGTATCAAATAACTAAGGATTTAATTATTGAAATTAAAAATACTGGCAAATTTTCGAGAAGAAAAATATAATCTCTTTAAGCTTTTAAAAGTAAAATGTTTAGAATTAAGATTGAATATTTTTCTAATATTATATATATCTTTTAAATAATCTTAAAATTGAGTAAATAAGGATTTAATCCAAGTGGAAAGAATCTGATTAACATTTTTACAATCTTTTTAATTTCTTTTAGGTTACATTTTCTAGGGATAAAAATTTAAGAGTTTTTTTAACATTTAAAAATATTTTTTCTCGAATTTATTTGTATTTAAAAAAAATAAATTTGTCTTTTCTGTAAATGAGTAAATATTTTTAAAAAATTTGATAAAGTATTTCATCTTTTTTCAACAATCCTAGAAAAAGTTTTATCATTATTTTATAAGGGGAAATAATAATTTAAGAGTTTTTTTTAACATTTAAAAAACGTTTTTTCAAATCTATTAGTATTAGATAAATTTGTATTTTCTGTACATGAGTAACTAAAAAAAATTGATAAAGTTTTTCATCTTCTTTCAACAATCCTAGAAAAAGTTTTATCATTATTTTATAAGTCGAAATAATAAAATATGAATTTAAATTAAGGCGCAGATATTTAATGAAGTTTTTGACTTCTCATATCTAACTGCCCAGAAAATGTTGCTTTCTTAATGTCAACACTTTTCGTTTAAATCTCTCAAAGTTGTCAATCAAAAGTTGCTTTTGCTAAGAAAAATCATTCTAGCTTCAGATTTTGTGAAAGGGCGGTTTTTGCAGACAATTGATAAGAGAGTGAAATCCCTGAATTTTTTTTCTCCTTTATTGATTATTTGGATGACGTGATCATTGCTGGCCGTTTATCTGACACAAATATCCGCTCATAAAGAAAAACAAGGACATTTTTTTATTAAAGTACTGTTCATAAATACTTTGTAGACACAGTTATAGACCTTCAATCGCTGTTTGGGTCTTTCCTCTCCGCCTTGGGACTAGGTGTCCTGCTGATTTCAAATAAATATATTGAACATCTTATTTACGGTTATCAAGGGGCGACCTACTGGGAAAGTTTATTTGACTCTTGGGAATTATTATGATCTTTTCTTGGGATGGTATTTCTCGCTCTTTCCATTAACTATTTTCTTCGTTTTTTCTTTCTTTCTTTCTTTCTTTCTTTCTTTCTTTCTTTCTTTCTTTCTTTCTTTCTTT